GTAAGATACTGGCAAACAAAATACAGCAAATCATCAAAATGATCATAAATTATGACCAAGCAGGATTCATTCCAGGTATGCCTAAATGATTCAAAAAACGCAAATCAATAAAAGTAGTATACCACATAAACAGAAGCAAGGACAAACAAAACATTATCATCTCAATAGACATAGAAAATGTATTTGAAAAACTCCAACATCCATTCATGATAAAAAAAAAACCCTGAAGAAAATAGGAATAGAAGGTCTTTATCTCAATCTAATAAAAGCCATCTATTACAAACCAATGGCCAACATCGTACTAAATGTAGAGAAGCTGAAAGCTTTCTCTCTAAAATCAAGAACAAGAAAAGGATGTCTGCTATCACCACTCATGCTCAGTACACCTCTCAAAACTTTAGCTAGAGCAGTTAGACAAGAGAGAGAAATAAAAAGATATGGATAGTAAAGAAGTTAAATTATCATTATTAGCAGATGACATGACGCTCTACATCACAGACCCCAAAAACTCCACCCAAAAGAATTCTAGAATTAATAACTAGTAGAGTAGCAGGATACAAAATCAACACTCTAAAATCAATAGCATTCCTGTACACCAATAACAAGCTCACCAAGACAGAAATTAAACAAACAACACATCAAGAAAATGAAAATCGCATCAAGAAAAATGAAATACATAGGAATTAACAACTAAAGAAGTGAAAGACCTCTACAATGAAACTACAGTACTCTGAAAAAGGAGAATGAAGAGAATATTGAAAATTGGAAAGATACCTTCTGTTCCTGGATAGGTAGAACCAATATAGTCAAAATGATCATACTTCCAAAATTGTTATACAAACAATGCAATCCAAATCAAAATATCAATAACAGTCTTTACAGGACTGGAAAGAGTATTCCTAAAATTCATATAGAACCAAAAGAAACCTAGAGTAGCAAAAGGAATTTTGGCTAACACGAGCAAGGTAGGGGGCATCACAAACCCAGACTTAAATTTATACTACAAAGCTACAGTGATTTAAAAAAAAAAAAAAAAAAAAAAAAAAAAAAGGACAGCATAGTATTGGGGGGGAAAAGAGGAAAAAAAAAAAACCCAGACTGGTAGATCAATATAACAGAAAATTCAGAAAGAACCATGCAGACACACTCATCTACTTTACCTTTGACAAAGAGGTCAAATATTTTTGCTGAAGAAAAAATAAGGTGAAAACTGGTATCCACATGCAGAAGATCAAATCTAGAACCACATATCACACCATACACTAAACTAAAATCAAAATACATCAAAAATCCAAACATATGAATATGAACACTTAATCTCCTCGGACATTAAATAAGTGAAGCTCTTGAAGACAGCTGTTGGCAAAGACTTTCTGAACAGAATCCCAGTTGCACAAGAAATGATCCCAAGAATCAACAAATGGGATCACATCAAATTAAAATTTTTCTGCACAGAAACTCATCTTCAGTATAAATGTCAAAAGCAGGTACAATCGAGGATATAGCTCAGGAATACAGTGCCTTCCTGGCAAGTGCAAGGTCCTGAGTTCGATTCCTAGTACAAAAAAAAAAAGCAGGTACAGAAGAAACAGGTTGACACAGCCTTAATTTTTTGAATTCCTCCTTTTTTGTTCACAAATAACTGGGAAGATATAACGTGAAAAGCATAGGACTAACAGTGAGAGGATAAAGTTCAAATTCTAGCTCCTTCGCTTCTTGGAATTAAAAGCTTATAAGCCCTTAACCCTCCAAGATACTTGGCTTTCTCAACTACAAGAGGAGAAATCATGGGAATCCATTTCTCAGATGCTATTCCGAGTACAAAATGAGCTTACAACTGAAGAAAGTCCCTATGGCATTGGGCAATAACACAAAGGTGATAGAAATCCAAGGATATGGGTGTGATCAGCTGGTTTCTGAGATTCAGGTTCTTTTATTGTCAAAAAGGGGAAATAGTGACTACTGAGGAGGATATTTGAACTTCTAGATACAGTACCAGCACATCACAGATTTTCAATCAATGCAAGCTACCAATGTGGTGGCCAAGATTTCCTTCCATATTCCATAATTCTCTAGGATTTTGTGGTAGACACAATTTCAGATAAATATTTTAGAGCAACATGTCCGTAAATCTTGATTTCACTTCCATATGTATATGCTAGCAGCAGTAGCAGCAATTTTAAGGGTCAAATTGTACCAAGTAATAAACAGGATTTTTTTATTGAACAAATTGCCTGACAACAGTTCTTCTGTTCAATAACTCCACCCAAAGCAGTGACTAAGCAGATATTATCACCCACATCAAAGAAACACCATTTACAGGCATTAAAAGAATGCAGAGTACCACCATATCCTGAGCCCCTGCCATACAGCAGGCACTAGGGTGGGCATCCTGAGTACAACCTCCTACTCTTATAGCAGCCTGCCACCTGGGCTTCCTCACAGCTGCTTAAGCAAATCGTTCAGTAATGGTGACCCAGGATCTCAAGGCAAAAACATGTGTCCTTATAGCCTACATTCTTTCCTCCAAATCACTCTAGATTGTTTAGGCCTCTAACACACCATTACCTATGTCTTATTATGTTTTTGAACTATGTCTCAGTTACGTTTCTCTCATTGCTGAGGCAAAATACTCAACACCCAAAATTAAAGGGTAAAGATTTACTTAGCCCACAGTCTGTAGAGGTTTCAGTTCATAATTGGCTAACTCCAAGGCAGAGTGGCTTGGCAGAGGTACATTACAGAGTAGAACCAGTTCATGGCAAACAGATAACAGCAAAAGCAACCAAGCAAAGGATGATCACAGCACTTTCTAACCTTTATATCTTATCCAGGCTACTTAGGGCAGGTAGTACTCACACCCTCAATCCTAGTGCCCTTGAGCTGACCACTGCACCATGAATCAATTCTAGTGTCATACACTAGATCCAGCCACACCTGAAAAAGCCCCAGCTTTGACTGTGTGAGCATTTGGGAGGACATCTAGACACAAGCCATAACATCCCCCCCTAGGCCCCCCAAAGACTCATGTACATCCCTTTATGCAAAAGACACTGAGTACATCTCTAACAACTGTCAAAGTCCTAACAGTTTCAGCACTGCTGAAAATACCAAATCCAATGTCTCCTCTGAGATTTAAGGCAAATTCTTAGCTGCAAGCCCCTATACAAATGAAAAAGAAAGTTACACACTTCCAAGCACAAGATAGACATTTCCATTCCAAAAATTACAAACTTACTTTTGTAATTTACTTTTGTAAGTATCCTTACTTACAAAAGGATAGCAAGGAATGGGAACAAAGCAAGACCAACATCTTGTAAGGCAAACATTAAATCCTCACCAATCTGTGAACTCTGAAGGACTTGGGGAGCCTCCAGCTATATAGCACTTCTGGTAGCTGTAGCTCTCATGGCTTCTCTCTTGGGCTGGTTCTGCTCTCTCCTTATAGTTTTCCTCAGATGATCCACGTTCCTGGCTTCTCTAAATTTCTTGCGTCTGGCTTTTTGGCTTCACACTCACAGCTTCATACACTGCCCTCTCAGGGGCACACTGCCTGGCCTCCAAGGCCTTCTTCTAAAATATGGGTAGAAGCCTTCCTGACCCCACAACTCTTACATCTTGCATGTACCTAAAACCAGCACCACATGGATGATACCAAGGTCTGCCACTAGCTGGAGCAGCAGCCAGACTTCCTTCTCTCTTGGCTATAGAAGTCAAGTGCCTATGAATCAAATCCTGAGGAACAATTTCCATAGGCTGTTGCCATTCTGGAACATGACACTCTGGACTCTCTTCTCAAAGCAAAGTCTTTCACCTTTGCAATTTTGAGGCTGCAAAGGATGGAATTCTGATGTTCCTTATGATGCTCTCATGCCATCTTTTCTATTTTCCTGCTTCTTCTCAGCAACCAAATCTCTTCTGCTCTGTCTTGGCAGTCCATAGCTTTACTGGAGCTTCCTTTCTGGCCAAACTTACAATGTTTTGAATCATTCTACTGGGCTCTTTGCTCTTGATTCTCAACACAGATCTGATTAAAAGCCTCCAATAGTAGTCATGCTACCACCTCAACATTAGACTGCCTTAAAATTTCTTCTGCACGATTAATTAGTCTGGTAGCCCAAATCTCAGGTAAAGTCTCTGGACACGAGAAAAATGCAAACTTTCTGCCAAGCCATAGCATTTTCTGGAGTCCAACAGCCAATGCAGTCCTTCTTCCCAGCAGAAACCTCCGGAGCCTGGTTTTACCAGTAGCATTTCTATCACCTTTTGCTCTTCTGTGCTCTGACCAGAAGCTCTCATCAAGTACAGCGTAAGGCATTCCAGCTCCAATTTTTCAGATGGTTTCTCCCAACCTTTCCAAACTCTTCTCACAAGCCAGCTCCAAAGGCCCCTAAACCCCATGGTCAGTTATAGTAACAGCAATAACCCCACTTCTCTGGTACCAAATTCTGCCTTAAATTACTTTTCTCTGGTTGCTGAGGTAAAATACCCAACACCCAAAGTTAAAGGAGAAAAGGTTTATTTAGCTCACAATTTGTAGAGATTTCAGTACATAATCAGATGGTTCCAAGGCAGAGTGGCATGGCAGATAGGTATTGCTAAAAAGAAATAGTTCACAGTGGACAGAAAGTAGCAAAGCAACAAGGGATGATCACAGTTCTTTCTATCCCTTATATCTTATCCATGCTACTTGGAGTACGTAGTGCCTTTGAGCCTAGCATTGTACCATGAATCAAGTCCAGCATCACACATTCTAACCACCTCTGAAAAAGTTCTACCTGTGATTGCTTGAAGCTTTGGGGGCACATCTAGATAGAAGCCATAACAAATTGGTTTGCAAAGTACAGAGAAATGCTACCTCTAAAGAGGCAGTACAAAATAAACTGAGATGTGCCTTGGACTCCATGTGTGGCAGCTAAGGAGACAAAAGGTGAAAGGAAGACCAAAATGCAGTACGTTTTTGGCCAGAACCTCTACCTCTATCTCCCAAGTCCTCTTACCTTGAAGGAGGCATGCTGTTCCATGTGCCGCAGTAATTGTGGCTTCTGGGCTGCTGTGTAGTCACACACTGTGCATTTGAATTGTTTTCCTGCAAAGAAGCAGAAGATAAGGTGAGCATCACCAGGATACCAGCTCTGCCATGTGAATGAGGGCCAGAAATTGAGCTGGTACACATAGGTGTCCCTTGTCAGGTAAGAGACCAGAATTTCAGAGGGGACATAGAAGGACATGCACAAATGCAATGTAATGGGCACAGTCTCCACCAACTACAAATGGGGAGGAGACCACCAAGAAGGGAAAGAACGATGACCTCTTCCTGGGGAGCCCTGATGTGCAATGACATTCAAGCAGGCTCCTAAAGAAAGAGTAAGAGTGTGCTCAGCTACCTAAAGAGAAGGGCATCGAGGAAGAGGGGTGGACACAACTGAAGGAATGGGTGCTCAGAGGAAGGGATTATAGGGTGGAAAAATGAAGCAGCTGGATCTTCCTTCCAGAGTGTAAGATCTGCAGGAAGTCAAGAACTGACCTGAAAATTTGGGAGGCAGATTTCCAGGACCTTGAGCATCTCACTAGGGAGCTCAGACGAGATCCTAAAAGTCAGAATAACCTGCAGTATGACGTTCTACAAGAGGAAAGATCTGTGTTGTAGCACTCCTAACTCTGACAAGACTATAAGCAGCACTTTTGAGGGTATGCCAGATAGAAAACTAATACAAAATGCAAAACAGCTTTCTTAAGAAGAGTAATGATTTAGCAATATTTAAATGTTCAATAATGGGGTGAACAGGATTACATGTTAAAACAAATTAATGGCTATACAGGGCCTAGCACACTGTTTTTTCCTGATTAGCATAAACAAAACCTCCATTTGCAATAATACAAATATATGCAGCAGAATAGAAATATGTCCTATTTCTTGTAGTAGTAAATGGCTCAACAATCAGCTTGATGCAATGGTCCAAGCATACTGGGAAATGCAACCACAGCCCTGAAGTATGGCTCCCCAGAAATAATGGCTCCTCCAGAGTGCCCTCAATCCTCTCCCTCTCAGACCAGAAAAGTGAGACTTACCTATACCTGCAGCCTCTATGTTTCTCTGCTGTTCACCCCTGAAGCCAGCAAAAACTGGCTGATGCCATCAACTGGCCACAATACCTGTTTCTCATTAAGGTAACCAAGGAATTTCAAGAGGCCAAGCCAGGGGTAGACATCAGTTCCTGACTTCACTGGGTGACTCTAGTTAAGAGTCTGCTACCAGTCCATGCTCTGGAAACCTGTTCCTTTGGACTCACAACACTACAGCCTCCCTGAGGCTCTCTGACTATTCATTCTGATTATCCCTGCGGCAGTCTCTCCTGTCAACCCTCTTTTATACATTGATGTCTCACATGGTTCTAGCTCAGACTCCTTTCTGTGCAAGTATCCCTACACAGGAGTGTCTTTTATAGCTTTGGATAACCTTTGATGCCAAAATTTGCACCTTCTAGATTCAATCTCCTATCTTTTATGTCTATCTCTCTATAACCCTTCCTCACTAGTTTAAGTCCTTCCCATTTTTTTCCCCTAAACTATTGCAAAAAACCCTAAACTGTTTTCCCATTCGGGCATCTTCCTCATCCATCCATCCATCCACCCATCCATCCATCCAGATATACATCTTTCTCCCATAGCCCACCAATGTGCCCAATTGCCTAACAAAGTTAGGCAAAGTCCCAGAACACTGCACAAAGGTTCTTCAGAATCAGAACTAATGCTCCCCACCCATTTGCTGACTTCCTCTTCTGCCTGTCCCCTCTGTACCTCAACTCTATAACGTAGTCCCTTCCATTCTCATAACTTTCTGCCTCATCTTTATAGTCTCAGGCCCCTAAACCTTTGCTAAAATTTTCCATGTCTGGGATGTACTGCCTCTTGTATCTGGCCATTCTTCCCTTAAACTCAAAATTCAAGTCAAACAGCATTTCTGATAACTGGGCTCAGCCAGCCCCTCCGCATACCCTCACTACACACTGGTCACATATCTCAATCTGTGTCTCAGCTCTACAGAATTTTGCCATTAGCTGCCCCTGGGCAGGAACTATGTCTTACTCATATCAGTAATGTCAGCACTTCTGTGCATGCAAATACTGAATATATTCCATGCATTTTATTAAACTGAATTGTACAAGAAATGAACAGGAAAGTCTGTGTGTCTTACGTAAATAATGCTCTTGGTAAGAAATGAAAAAAAACAAAACCAAAAGGTATAAACACATAAATAATATAGTTATAACTATAATTCTAAATGAATGTGCCCTAAATTCTAGATTTTACTATTTCTTCAAGTTCAATGTGCAGGGAGATTTTTTTTCACATTTAAGGCACACAGTTATAACTAGAAAGCAATTAACTTTTTCTTGAAGTATGATCTTTTTCTAAACGATAAGGCCATGCATTTGTACACATCAGTAGTATGATCACAGCCACAATACTTTCCACTAATACATGATGCAGATAAATAAATCATCATCGTCCCAGACAGCTTGAGAATAATTGTGTTTGGGTTCTTCCTGTAATAGTGGCATAAGGAACACTAATAGAACCATTTTCTGAGGTGATAAATATTTCTTCACTCATTATCAATCACTCAGATCAAAGAGTAAAAGATAAAGGCTAAAGGGAGCCCAGAAATGAATGAATGGAATTGCCTCATCTGAGATCAGAAGTAAGCCTTGTGCAGATCTACTATCAAGACTCTGCAAGAGAAATGAAAAGAAGGCAACTCCTAAAAGCCACTGCTGATGGAGGCGGAAGAGCCCTGGAAATAAATATTCGCAATGTTTTCAGCAACCACTGACAGCTTGAGTCAAACAGTCCTGGGAGAGTGTTTGCCATAATCCTTTGTTGCCTAATTAAAACACTGGAATGGCAATTCATAACTAATCATAAAGAAGCAATGTTCTGAAACTAGCAGGTTGTCTTCTACAAAGACACTCCTAAGAATTACAGAAGAGTGGACTGAAAGACCCAGTATTTACCCAGGTCAGAATGACTTCACATGGCTGCAAGATGAACATCAAATAGATGTATATGAATGTAAATCACAGAGGGTCCCAGGAAAAGGAAAAAAATATTATAAAATTTTTAAAAGATTGATTTTTAAAATCATTCACTTTTTATAAAATCTACCTGACTAGGGCATCTGAATACCGAACTACTGGACATCATGACCTACGTGACTGGACGTATGGTGTCACTGTGCATGCACACCTAGACTCCAGGCAGCATTACCTGTTTACGTATGGGGAGCTAGGATTGTGAATCTATGTAACTTGCCAGGTAATGAAGTAGGAAGCACTGGATCCAGACTTTAGTCTATTCTGCCCCGAAGCCCCTATTCACAGCCACCTAAGCACCTTTTCAGCTAATAAGGAAGCGACGCGTATTCCCCTAAAGGAAAAAGGAATGTATAACAGCAGTGCACACATCTATACCACTCTCACATAAAGGTGGCTGGCTGAATGGGATGGCTACCATTAGAAAGGGCCAGCAGAAAGGGGCCACTGGCAAGGGAAGTGTGTCTGGCTGTGTCCAAGACACCGTGTACAACCCTGGGCTCTTTCTTTTCTTCCACTCAAAGGTCCTGGTAGGAACAATGAGGAGGTGATCCCTGCCTGCTGCAGGACGGGCTCAGGCATAGGGCCTACAAGCCCCTGAAAATCAGCCCTGAGAGATACAGATAGGCAAGCATGTGGGAGACCTAGCAGCAGACCCTCACTACAGTCAGCAGTTCCCCTCTGTCCTGCTGCTTTTTAGCTCCCCAGCCCTCTCTGAGACAATCCAAGAATCAGATCCAATTAAGCCAGCTTAAATCAATACACCTAAAGCAAAAGGAAGCAGGGGGAAATGCTTGTGAAACTGTAATAAAGTGAAAGCAGTTATAATAGCAGAGCATTTCTAGAAGCCCTCTTCTCCTCCCCCAGCATGCTCTCTGCCCTGTTTCCACCCCAGCCGAAAGCGCACAGCCTGACAGTGGCTGGCAGGTTCTCAGCACCCTCAAGTCTTCATACAAGTGTCACCTTCTCACCAAATCCTTCCAGAGCCATTCTGATTAAAATGACAGCCCCACCCCCTGACCTGATTCATTTTCAGTATCTTAAAGCTTATGATATTTTTATATTGAAGCTGAATCATTTCATATTCATATTTTTACCTATATAACTCAGTTTTTTTACATCTGAAATGTTTTTGCATTTCCAGTGTAACGTGGCATTTTTTTATTGACTGGTAGTATATTTGTCATCTGTCTCAGGAGAATCTGGGCATGATGACAGTGGAGGATTTTGGTTTCTGCTTGCTGTGATTGGTGGCGTTCACCATGGTAACCAAACTGCCTAATGACCAATGCAGTTAATTGACTAGTCTTTGCTTGGTCTGCCTGGCACCCTCCCAAGCTGTGGACACCTCAGGGCCCTCATTGTGGACACCTCAGGGCCCCCATTGTGCACACTTCCTCCCATGTTATTTAAATGCTGAGCAGTGAGCCCCCACTGAAGACATGGCCAGCACGAAGTGATACGAGCACCTGGTCAGAAGTGTACAAGCTCCCTAGTTCTTATTTGTATCAACACCACTGCAGCAAGAACGACAGAATTGTTACATAGCCCTGTTCACAACCACCCCCAAACTCACTTTGTCTCAGTCACAGGCCATCAAACTACAGTGGGAAAGTGGCTCACACTGAACCAGGCATGGAAACTGTCCGGACTTCAGGCATATACTCAGGAGCCACGGTGGACGAAACAAAGAAACAAGCCACTCTGCAGGAAGGGCAGGGCAGAGCACAGCTGAGAGACAGACGGGGCATCAGCAGAAATAAAGGAGGCAGGGAGGGCAAGGTAGATGCTACAGACACCTGGTTGGCTGTGTTCATTGACTCAGCATCACTAGCAGTCACTGCACGTCAGGACCACACTTGACTGCGGGAGACCGGAGGGAACAAGACAGCAGAGCCCTTGCCCTCAGGGCACTCATCACTTAAACAGACGGCCAGGGAGTATGCCAACAGATAATCACAAACTACCATGTGTGACAGAAGAGACTGACAGC